ATATCCGTTTGTAAATTTTTCGGACGTCTTCCACTCTCTCGAACGATCTCAGCGATAACGTCAGCCGTCTCGCTTCCGCCCTTGCTCTTGAGCGGTACGGCCCACGCGTACTTGCTCAACACATCGATGACGGTGAGTATGTAGTGACAACTTCTGTTGTAACCCGAGTACGGACGTATCTCAACGATATCAGCCTGCCACAGATCGTCGTATCCCCGGACTATGACGCGCCTTCACGGAAAATTTCTTCTCGCCGGAGTGTGCAATTCCTCGACGAGCCGACGTCTCTCGGAGCTAACTTTTCTCTTTTCATCGGATCTCTTTTTCATGATTCGATGCTTAATACGCAGAATACAAGAAAAAAAATGTTTTCTCGCTGATGTCACTCGACTAACTCGTTTTGCTGATACGCGATTTAATTTATAATAAGACCTGCTTAAAGGAAGTTCCTCGATGATCGACAGCATCTCGTTGTCGTGAGCGTTGTTGCCCGCTCGGTGTGAAGCGTCGAGCAATCGTAGACGATCCACTAGCTCGTTGGGATCGTCCCAGTGCACGTAATCGATTGCATTGTCGTTCAGTGTCATTGTGTGAGGTAATCCCTTTCCAGATTTCTTCTGTTTCTTAGGTGTAATCGACATCAATGGCGCGATTACGTGTTTGTACTTGTATCCCCTGTTATTTAATAGTCGAACCTGCGAATGATGCTTGTGCTTGTGCGCGTTCGTTGCCAGCAGCATGCTCTTGTACTTGTGCATATCCTCTTCCGTGTAGAGAGCATCGTCGGGAATTCTCTTGAAAATCAACTCGTAAAGATCAGGCGTACCGGCGTATCGTACGCCGTCGATAATTATGTTATCCGCGTCATCCATGTCGAAACGTTTATTACCCCATATCCATCATTGTGTAGGTAAACGCCGTACACATGATCTGCACCGCTCACTTTTTTTCCTTGCGCTCCGCTCAGGATAGGCTCGACGTACTTTTGACTTAGCGGACCCAAGTGAGCTCGCAACATGTCTCGACCTTCCGACGTTTGCAGTCGATTTTTGAACCTTTGTCGCTAACGAATCGTCCGTCGTTTCGAAAACGTTCTCGAACGACTCGATCGGTTGTGCGATCGTCGTCGTAGTACGCGGTGTGGAGGTTATCGGTTGTACGTCGTGCCATTGATCAGATTTACTTAGAGTCGCGGAACGCTCGAACGTCTCGCTCGCTTCTTCTCTCTCCTCTTGTTCCTCTTGTCTCCTCCTTCCTCTCACGTTTAGGGGCAGACGCTGCGTAGTCATCGCCACGTGACTCTCTCTTTGTCGTGCGCCCGCCGGGGTTGTCGACGAAAAGTCGCAGCGGCTCGATAAGAGGTTTAAAATGTCTGTCCAACGCGATACCTTCCTCGATTTTACCGGTCTTCAGAGCGCGATGTTTCTTGCGGATCGACTCGCTCGTCTTCTCGATCTCCCTCGCGATTTTTTCACGCTCGCGCACATCTACCATGTTCGTCTCTGGCAAAGTATCGACATCGACTAACCACGTTACGGTATCGCGAACTCGTTAAATCCTCTTCTGTATCTACCGTTTGTAAGCGCACTGTCTTTGTCTATTACTACGAATCCATATTTTTGTCGCCAATAGTCGCGACACAGCAAGCAAAATTCGTCGTACGACATGTCGGTATTCACATGATCGTTGTAAACGTGTTTCAAGTTAATACCGTCCTGTTTGAACAGGATCAGCAGGTTCGCATTGTCGCGTATCAGATGTTTAGGTATCCTCGCGTACGTCTGACAGAGATAGAAGCAGTCGACGTTTGCATGGCGACC